AGCTGCACTTTGAATGATCCTCAGCAGCAGTGTCCAGCAGAACTTTCCAGGAGGACAGAAATGCTGTATTGTGCATGTCCAGTCTGGTAGCCACTAGACACATGGGGCTATCAAGCATTTGAGATGTGACTAGTGTGACCAAAGAAATGAATTTTACATTTACATCGTTTTAATTTATTTGAATTTTGGTAGCTTCGTGTGGGTATTATATAGGGCAGCATGGTCTGGAGCCACATTGCTGATGGTCTGATGTCAGTGTTTAGAAGGTAGGCCAGAGAGAAAGCATATTCTTTTTTTTATTATTATATGTTAATCACCATACATCATTAGTTTTTGATGTAGTGTTCCATGATTCATTGTGTATAACACCCAGTGCTCCATGCAGAGCGTGCCCTCTTTAATACCCATCACCAGGCTAACCCATCCCCCCATCCCCTCCCCTCTAGAACCCTCAGTTTGTTATTCAGAGTCCATAGTCTCTCATGGTTTGTCTCCCCCTCCGATTTCCCCCCCTTCATTCTTCCCCTCCTGCTATCTTTTCTTTTTAAACATGTATTATTTGTTTCAGAGGTACAGATCTGTGATCCAACAGTCTTGCACAATTCATAGCGCTCACCATAGCACATACCCTCCCCAATGTCCATCATCCAGCCACCCCATCCCTCCCACCCCCACCACTCCAGCAGGCTGGGGTCTCTGGCAGCTGCAGAGCATCTCTTGGCAGCCCTAGCTCTAGGTCATGTGGGAACCTTGCGTTTTCTCCCTTGTGCGGCTGTCTGCAGCACACAACTGATGCAAGGGAGTGCGGGAAGTGGGGAGCAGGGCCATCGCTCACCATCCTGTGTAGCCACACACTAACATGCCAGTCCGTATTCACCGGATGAATTCGCACCAGTGGGGTAAGAAGTCTCCAGGGTCTCAACAGCAGTCAGGTCCTGATAAGTCCTAATATTTCCATCACATTCATCTTTTCTTTTCGTGACTTCTATGCCTTCCACACCCTTCTCTGATAACACAGATATATAAACCCACCTTGTTTGCCAAGAGAATTGGTTAGGATTATTGCATTAGAATGTTTAAGCCAATGTTCAGCTCTGAACGTAAGCCTGGCCATCCCTCTCAAACATGTCTGCCGGGTGACGGGACAGTCTGGCTTCCGGGGGGGTGTTCAGCTGTCTGTATGCACACAAAAGCCATGGAGGTGGACCTTAAGCTATGAGGCCTCTGTAGAGGTGATGGTGGGACAAAGACATTCAGAGAACGAAGAAGCTGTTGAGGATGTTGGAAAGTGCAACTCAGCTACAAAACCACTTCCCAAATCTGGGAATGTATCAAAACACGTGTGGTCAATTCTACAATGCTCTAAACATCACAATTCGATTGAGTTCACTTAGCATGCTTGATTTTGGCCCTGAAGTTAAAATTATTTACCCACATGGTTCTGGGAGGTATCCCTTTGCCCAGGGACATTTATACAGGCTCAGTTTAAATCCTATTCCATCAAACCCCAAGAAACGTTGGCTGACACCACAGTTAAAAGGAGCTACTGGCATCAGGATTGAATCTAAGCACACTGAAGGTGAAACACTGGTTTGTTTTGAACAGAAATCCTCTGCAAGCTGTCTATGCACTAAGCTATGGCAATGCTGACCGTTCTGTCAAGGTCTTTAGGGCAAAGATGTAAGCTGGAGGATGTTCCAACTCTTGAACTGGGAAGCCCAGGTTCTAGAAGGAGCTTATGAAAGGCTTCAAGAGGAAAGGCAAGGTTTCTGTGTACGAGTCCTAAGATTTGAACAGTGCAGCTCAAACCACTTTTATTTCAGATTTCTGTTTCTTTCCCAATCACCGTCCCTCTGATGGATCACCCCCGGAGAAATCAAAGCCAAACTGTATCTCAGCTTCAAGCAATAAGACAACGTTATGGTTTGGCTCTGGTATCTGGAGTAGTAGCCTGAAAATCACCCAAGATACCCTGGAAGGCAGGTAGCTAAACTGATCTCCATGTGCTCACATAGTTCTCAGAGCACATTATTATTTTTTTAAAGATTTTTATTTGAGAGAGCAAACAAGCTAGAACATACAAGCAGCGGGAGCAGCAGTGGGAGAGGGAGAAGTAGGCTCCCCGCTGAGCCAGGAGCCCGACATGGGACTCGATCCCAGCACCCTGGGATCATGACCTGAGCTGAAGGCTGGCGCTTAAGTGACTGAGCCACCAGGCGCCCCCTCAGAGCACATCTCTAAAGTCTTTCATGTGCTTTAGCCTAATAATATCTAGCAGGCTATGTTCCATCCCTCTAAATTAGGCATGGAGGGGGAAAACAAAGAAGCCCGTAAATTAAAAAACGTTTTCATGAACTTAGTAATATTACACCTGTTCGGTTTGAAAAGCACTGGGTAAGTACTGGCTAAGACACATTAAGAGTGACAAAGAGCAGGACCGGAAACCAGCCAATTTCAGTAAAAGCAAACAGTAACATTTGTTGAGTGCTTTTGTTCATGCTATTTATTAATATTTATCTAATTCCTACTATGAGCCAAAAACTGTTCCGGAAGACTCACAGGTGAAGAAGAGAATGAAGGCCCTGCTCTCATGGAGGCCGTATTTTAATTTAATGGAGTTCACATTTTATTCACCATTTGTAGATAATAAACTCATAAATACATAGCATAATTTCAAGTACTGAGAAGTGCTAGGAAGTAAAACAGGATGAAGAGAGGGCAATCGGGATGGTGAGAGCAAATGCCACCCTCTCTGGGAGGGAATGAACCCTGATTTGCTCAGCTTAAGTCAGAAGCCAACTTTGGGACCAAACCCACTGTGGCCAGGTGTGGACACAGTGTTTCAACATGACCGCTGAGGGCCCACCACAGGGCTGAAAGGTGGCACAGTTTCCAAAGGGAGGAGGGAGATGGTGGGCTGTCACCCCACTACACCCCCAGGTCCAGCGCCCCCGGTCGTGGTCTGAAGGCAGGCAGAGGTCGGCCTCCCAGAGATCACGGAGCAATGAAGGATCCAAACAATATTAAGATGCACTGGAAACTGATTTCATTCCTGCTCCAGGTGCATCGCAGGTGACCTGAGGGCTCTGCTCCATGGCTCCCACTATCAGGGATGGACAAGGGACCATTACGGTCCTGAGTGGCAGGGGAAAGGGAACTCAAGAGTGTCCTCCACAATAAGTGGTCCATCCCGGAAGTGATGAACTTGACTTTCCCTCATCTCCCTTAATGAAAGAATGATCCTCTTGAAAGATGTATAAAATCTTCCATCTCACCAAGTAGCAGGTAGTACAGTATTATAGTAACTGGGTGATCAGTATCTTAAAAAGCTCAGGTAGTTTAAACTCCTAGAGGTACTTAACTGACTCCCAAAGAACAGAACATACAACTTAAAGAGAACAAAATATCATTCTTGTGTAATATAGCTGGAATCACATAAATAATTAAGAATGTGTCCTTGGAAAAAAGGAAATAAGCAAAGCAAAATGAGCAATAGTAATAAATCATACTTATACAGTTTCAGGTTTTATTTTCATAATTATCTTCCCCATAGAAGCAATAATCTGCATTTCCATAACAACACATTTAATATTTACTCATCAAAGAACTGGAAAAAATAGGAAGCACAGATTCCATACACAAATACCATATTCTGCATATGTACAAATAAATTCAATATATTAAATATATTTCTAGATTGACTTCACTTACAATATAATAGAACACTGAGCATATTCATGCAGGCTTCCACTTTGGTAAAAGTGATGACACGAGTTCTGGAAAAGTTTTTCCTGTTGTAAACACACGTTTCCCACTTCTGACCACACTCTCAGGATAAAGACTTCTGTACATGGAAAAATAAAATGCAGGAAGATGGAACGAGGGCTCTTTCCTGGACACTACACAGAATAACCCTGACATCAAAGAAATATCCCCAAGTCCTGGCTCGTTAGTTCCCAAGTGTGGGCGGGGAGGGGTGGCAGGGTGGGGGGAAGAGGCTGCACTTGAAAGAAATACAGCCTTTCATGTTGTTAAGGGTCAGCTGCCCTGCTGATACAGAATGCACTGAATCACTCCTCATTTTTAATATGTAACACTTAACTTTTCCAAGGCTGCAATGGGTAATGTAGTCTATAAACAAATGGTCTAAAATACCTTTTAAGTGCTGCCAAATCTGTTTACACAGATGGTTGCTTAGTTCACATGAGCATGAACACGAGACTCCCGAAGTTTCTGACTGGATATAAAGGGCCCAGCAGCAGTGGCGGGCTCTCGGAAGTATTACTATGCCATTCAGTACAAATGTCTAAATACAGCCTCGCTGAGATTGTTCAAAGTTCGTCTCCACACGATTATTGAAAATGAGCTGCTACCGCAGAACTATGCAAGTAACTTGAAGAATCAAAGCATTAAATTTGTTAGTGTTTTACATCAGATCTTAAATAACAACTTCTACCCTCCCACCGCCCCCAGCCAAGCGCACAGAGGATGCCATCCTGGCTAAGTCCTCTTCTCCCTCAGAAACAGCTGTGGCTAAAACCAGACATCAGGATGGGCCTTGGTATCTTCAGGGAGCAGCAAACTGTGCACCTGCACTTGGAGAAGGCCGGCTCTGGGAAAAGGCAGATGGGCTGCGTGAACAGGGACCACTCTGGGTGGCAACAGCCTGCAGAATGCACACTGCTGCTAATGGGTGCCTCTCTTCAGTGAATAGATTTGGAGATGGGGCCAAGCCGCATGGGTGAAAAAGGAATGCTTCACAAATAGCTTTCTAGGACTACCTACTAGGACTGACATATTGGCGGCTCAATCCTCTCAGCAGAAGTACCTCAAACAGTTCTTCCCATTCAGCTACATGTCTGCGGTATACACAGCATCACCATGCCACGTTACTGTCCCACCAGAGCTCTAGATGAATCAGAAATTATTTCGGAGGGAACAAAGGTCTATATTCTAGACTGATGGGAACATTACCTCTTTGTTAGAATGCACAATAGTCCTCATTAGAGTTGAATATAGCTTCAAAGCTTTCAACATACACATAAGACTTAAACATACCTTTTATTGGACTAAATAATATTGTAAGGCTCCAAAAAGCATCCTGTCCCCGTCTTACCTCTGAAAAGATTTAAAGATTTGATAATTTAAATGTATCTAATATCAATGGGGATAAACTTCCTTTTCAAAACAAAAGTTTAAAATACTACTTTGTTTAACTCAGTAAACTTCACTTTTAGCAGCAATTATTAAATAAAACGCAAAGGAAATTCTCTAACAATAAATCACAAAAGCCCAAGAGAAAAGAATTTCTATGCCTAGCGTCCCTTTTGTTTCGAATATAATTTGTGGCTTGCAAATTTAAAAATCAACTGTATTAAAATGTGACAGTGTATTTTTCTGTTAATTCCTGCTGATGTCTTAGAAAGGCTCTTATGGAAAGAGAAAGAAGTGTTTTCACATAGTGGGTACTTAGGGAAATGATGACTAAACATGAGTCTTTATTAGCATTTTCAAAACCACTACTGCAAAGAAGTCTGGATCCCCTTAGACAAGGTCCAAGTCCATGAATGGCAAGTCAGGACACTCTTCTTCCTTTCTGTGGCAAAGCAAGGTCCTAGCACAGGCCTCCTGCGTACTCATCTTCGTCTTCCTCCGCGGTGGGGGCCGTGGCGCCTTCAGACTTAGCCTGTGGTGCTGCAGATTTCTTCTTGATTCCCCCTCCTGGAACCACCAAACTCAGGCCTAGCTTAGCATACTGTCAATGACAAAGCATGTTCTCAGAAGCCAGATAACCTGAATCTCAATATGCCACGTGTCAACAGTAGCTATCAATAAGAGACAGATCCTCATTTTCTACCTCAGGAAAACCAATACTACCATTTAGATGGAAAAACAACCAGAACAAAATTCAATACTTCTCTGCCATCAGATGGCTTGTGACCGTGACGTGGCAGGTACACAACTGGTAAAAAATATCAGTTATACGTCACACTTAGGAACTGGAGATAATCGGGACACACTCAGCTAAGTAATATCTACAGTGCCTGCAAAATAAAGATCTGCTGAGTAAACGAAAAGAGTTAAGCTAGCGACAAATTCTTTAAAAATAATCAGACTTACAAAAGCCTATGTAAAACTTTACCTGGAAAAAAAAACAAAAAACAAAAAACAACAGATTCCTTCTACATACATCGTTACAAAAAAACCCTGAAGGTCTCAAGCTGATCTGATACCAAATCACATGAACAGGGGCTCAGAAATCTAGTGAAAAGGGAGAGCCAGTCACACTCAGGTTCTGAATACAGCAGTGTGTGAGGCCGTTTCGCACATGCAGACCACTCTATTCTGCGGGGCAGGCTGGCAAGACAGGGGCCAGTGGCTTACAGGTGAGTTAATGGAGGCTTACAGAGTTAATTACTAACCTGCATCACATAATCAGCTGTCACAGAAGTGGGCCTCCGACAAGTCTATCCAATTACAAAGGCCACTACCTGATGAGCCCCTTTCAGACAGTGAAGCCTAAAACACACTTAAACTAAGCAACTACAGAGGTCAAGGGGTAGTAGGAGAAGCTAAGAAATGGAGCCCAATTAAAAAATACACATACAGTCAATACCACTGGATGGCTGGATAAATGGCTGTAAACCCACATGGCTGACATCTCAGCCTTCTAGCCTATGGTGAAATTCAGTGCCAATGCCACATTCCTTTGTAAGCAGTGGCTGGAGGTAAAAAATAAGAGGGGGGAAATCTCACAAGTCCATAGGAGAAAAATCTAGAAGCCTCCACCTATCAAGAAGAAGGACAAAAGGCCACTTACATCATTGTCCATGTACTTGAAAAGCGGCGAGTTGCAGACCTCGGACACTTGGTCTTGGTCTTGCTGGTCATAGCCTTCAAGAAGCTGCTCCAGCGCAGCACAGTCTTCGCTCCCGCTGAACCCTGGGATGCTACAGCAAGCACGAGTCACAGGTCTCCACCTGCCCCCGGGGGTTCTGCCTCCTGCCCCCACCCCCAACAGATGTTTGCCAATAGCTGCAGACGTTTTTGTTAACAAGTGGCTAGCGGCCTGGGATGCTCTAGACATCCCACAATGCACAGGACAGGCCCGAGAGCAAGGAATTAAGCAGCCCAAAATGTCAACAGTGCCCCGATTGGACCACTTATTTTAACTACCTCCAAAAAGAAATGATCTTCTTGTAATGCAATCTGAGAACATTTCTCTACTTTTTTTGGTTCTTTTTTTCTCAGAAGGCAAATGGAACAAAATCATTCCAGTCATTCACTCCCATGAAATCCCCAGGAGAAAAACCCAGGAAAGATCACAACTTGTAAAAATCCTGTTGAAACAGTAGGTAAGTCCTCCTACCACTGTGAAATTTATTAAAAACCAAAACTAGCTTCACGGCCAACAAGAGCTGTCTAAGCAGTGATCTTACACTGAGAAACAGAAATGTTGACACTGTAAGTCAAGACAGGGCTGCCAACACCTTACCTGTAGCTCTCCCTGACACACCGCTCGGCAGCCACGTAGTCATTTCTGTGGAGGTGAACTAAGACTTGAGCAATTGTTTTCTAAAACAAAAGAGGGGATTATGATCCAAACTGACATCTATTTATTAGTAAAGTCAATTTCCTGACATCTGGAATTTAATTTTTAGAGTCTAGGCTTGCCTACAGAGATTGATAAATTCTTAGCAACTTCCACGGCACATGCGAGAGAGAATACACTGCGGCAAGCAGTATATCCCAAACTCTACTGTGCACAGAAACCACTCCAGCTCCTATTAAATGAAGACTGTGATTTAGCGGGGTCCGAGGCAAGCCTGAGACTCTGCTCCCAGGTGGTCCCGATACTGCCAGTCTGAGGACCACACTGAATAACACAACTTAGAACACAAGCACCACACGTTGTAAAAAAAAAAAAAAAAAAAAAAGTCTCGTAACTATGTAAGTTTAATCTTGAAAAGGGAAATCTTGAAGCAGGACCCATGACTCCACAATACTTTGGAATTCTTAAAGAAATAATAGGAAAAGGTGAATGAACAATAACTTTAGATAATAGGAACAATACTATTTATACGCCAACAAAGGCATTAATAAAACCAAAGATGTGACTGATAAGATCTTACTGGCAAATAGCTCTTCAAAAAGTGTTTTTCCATCTTTTTTATTTTTCAGATGACTTTCATTGATCTGTTCTTAAGTTCACTAATCTTTATCATCTCCATCATCAGATTAAGTTCATCCAGTATTTTACTGCAGACATTTGCTTTTTCAGTTCCAAAATTCTCATTTAATTCATTTTTAGTTCCTATTTAAAACATAATAAAACAAAAACACAGTTCTTTTGTCCATTCATCTGTTTACCTTTGCACCTCATGGAATAGTTAAGATAGCGGCTTCGAAGTCGTGACCTGGTAATTTCCACATCTGGGTCATCTCTGGGTTGGCACCGGTTGTCTTCTCTTGGGAACTGGTCCTATTTTCCTGACTTCCTATGCTGAGTGCTTTGGGACTGTATCCTGGACGCTGTGGGTGTTCTGCTGCATAGACTCTCCTGTAATTCTCAGGAGAGTGTGAAGGTTTTCAGCAGGCAATCCAGCAGTCAGGCTCAGATGCATGGTCTGTCCGCACATGGTGGGCAGTGGCTCTAGTCTTTAGTGCTTCTGCCCGCTGCTGCGGCTCGGCCCCAAGCAAGAGCCCTGCGAGGGCGCTGTGAATCCTGGGCAGCGATCAAACCTTACTGCAGCTCTCAAAGCCTATGCTCTGCTGCTCTGGGTCTGTCCACCACACGCAGAGCTGGAGAGTAACCCCAGGCACCTGCTCACACCCACACTGGGGATTCCTGGGTTTTTCTCCTTGCTCTTAGCTCATTGTCCTAGCTCCTCTGACCAAAGAGACTCAGCCTCTTGGGGTGTTTTATCTGCTGCACCACTCTCACAGCCACTGCTCCATGACTAGGGCTCAACCTCAGAGCAAAGCCAGCGGAGAAACAAGAAGACGACAATGGGGCTGCTTTTCCCAGTCCGTCCAGTTAGAAACTTCAGATAGATGGGTTCCTTGGACGTTTTAGATGCTGCACCGTCTGTTCCATGACTGGGGGCTTCTCTCAAGCAAGGCCACAAGAGAAACAGAGACACCCACTCCTGCACCAGCTACTTCTCCAAGTGCTCACTCCTCTTGCTCTTATTTTTCAGAGTTCGGAAGTTTTTGTATTTTGTCCAGAAGTTTTAGTTGTAATCAGCAGGAAAGATAGACTATAGTGGGCTTACTCCATCTTGGTCAAAATTATTTTTTAAAATATCCATGGAATGCAGAATTATGTACATAGTTACACCAATATGAAAAATTAACAAATATAAAGCCAAAAATAAGCACTTTCAAAACATACCTTGTAACAAGTTGGATAATTCTCAATCTCCTTATAAATATTTTTTTCTTTCTGAATAGAAAGTGTTGCCTCATCAAACCTAAAGACAAAACGAAGAAATGTCAAATAAGGCAGCTCTAAATGATTTAAAGCAGAGATCACTTTTCTATTTAATATTACAGATTCTAGCAAGAAGGCATCAGACATATTTAGCAATTGCTCTACAACAAAGTTTCCATGAGCTCTGCACATCTGGCTTATCTTTTAAACTCTTTGATTTGCCCATTCATGCATCATGCAGATAGACAAAAAGCAGAAGAACTTAAGGATAGGTTACTTCAAACGGGGTAGTTTAAGTCTGGTAAAAATCATCCATTAATGAGTATCTAACCAATTCAACAAACTGCTCTCTGCAAGCTTTTGTGAAAAGTATTAGAAAAGCCCCGAGTTAATCATCCCAGAGTTCTTTCCTTCCACTAAAGCCATCCAGACACCCCCAGAGCACCTCCTGCGTGCTGGAGAATTCCCTCCCCTGCTCCGTCCTCACTACCATATTCCCCACCGCCGCCTCGGTGAGCCAAAGACAACGTCCTTCCTGCCAACTCTCACCCACTTTCCTTTTCTGCCATCCCACTCAGGTGGAAGGACGAAGAGCAAAGGCATCGCTAACACTGTTCCCCCAATCCTCCAAAGCCCTCACCTTTCCCCTCCCCCAGCCTCAAGCCCAGCACACCCTAAGCAGCTCCTCACCTCTTCAGATAGGTGCGTCGTGCCCCTGTCCCAGGACTCTCTTCCTGGCATCTAACCTGTATCTGAAGGAAGTGTGCAGGCCTCACCCATCTCTCTCACCCCGAAAGCCAAAATGGCAAGCAGTCTGCATGTTAGGATGCAGTGGGGGAAAAAGCTGTTTTGTAACCCAAATTAAAATATAAAAATGTTATACTATACTTTTCTGTATGTTAACAATTATGTTTTAAAAAGATCTGTGCACGTGCATACACACACAGTATGGCTTGTTTTAACTCATACGAATTAAACTGAATTTTTGTGGGCCATGCCCTGGTAACTTACTACCTCATACAAAAAGGCTCATTGGAGAAATGCATTCTGAATTTCCAAAGATCAACTTGCTAAATTCTGGGAACAAAGCCAGTTTATAAATTGGGCATGGTAGCAGACTTCTAAGATTGTTCCCCAAGATTCTTGCTCCTCATATACACTCCTTGTATAGTCTCCTCTTGAAATGTGGGCACAACCTCTGAATATGATGGAACTCACTCCTGTGAGGATACTAATCAACTGACTTCAAGTGAAGCAGAGAGAATGTGTGGATGGGTCTGACCCAATCAATGAGCACTTGAAAGATCAGAGATTGAAAGTCAAGAGAGACGTGCTCTCACCCACCTTGAAAAAGCAGCAAACTACCATCTTATAAGCTGTCCAGGTGGCACAAGCCAAGGAACTACAGGCCACAGCACCTCTAGAGCTGAGAACTGCCCCTTGCCAATAGCTAACAAGAAAACATGGGTGTGCGTCCTACAGCTGCAAGGAAAGGAATCCTGCCAACAACCGGTGAGCCTAGAATGAGATCACAGTCATACCAGATACCTGAGTCTAGCCTGGTGAGACCCCGAGCACAGGATGCAGCCATACTGCGCCTGGACTTCCAACCTACAGATCTGTGAGGCAGTAAGTGACGTTGTTTTAAGCTGTTGGGTTTGTTTGTGGTTATTTGTCATATAGAAAAGGAAATTAATATGGGGGATTTTATCTATATCATTTGTAATTATGACCAAGAGCTTAGCCCAGACTCTATTTTATAAAAAACATTTCAGCAGAACATTCGGTGACCATAACATCCACATTATATCATTCTAGTAGGAATCTTAATGTTTTAAGGTTTTCACATATTTAACTATAAAGGCTGCATTCTTCCCACATGATTTATTTCCTTGGCATAAAAATAGCATTTCCATGTGCTAAAAGCTAGCTAGCAAAACAGCCATCTAAGAGAAATACTGTGTATTTATATGTAATCAAAAAAATCGATCAACTTGGCTAAAAGTCCATGAAATTGACATATAAAGCCAACTGTTTTCAACTGTATCCAGGAAATTACTCATAAGTTATTATAATGAAACCCAGAGGTAATTCTTAATACTCCTAACAAAATAATTGGTTTTGCTAAAAAGAGAATAAATTGTTTTTATATTCCTGTAATTCAAAAATAAAATAAAATATAAGTCCCACAAAAATTATGTGCATACAACAGGAAATTGTCATAGGACTTCACTCAACCCAGCTTTCAATGGTCATCTCCCTCACCATGACTCAAAACTCCTCCTCTGACCCCAACTGCCTCCTGAAGTCCAGAACATATTTTTAACTACCTACAAAATTTTTCAACCAATTCATCATATTGCCAACTAAGCTTATCACCCCAATAAACCTTGGCACCAAAATGGACAGGACAAAATTATGCGAGACAGAAACCTAGTGATTATGCTTAACTAGTACCTACTCCACAAACACATACCCAGGCCTCCCTGAGTTTAGAATGTAGTGACTGTCTCACTCAACTGGTAAGAGTCTGAGAGCCTTAGAAGTGGGGAGTCAGGCGGGGGTGGGGGGGTGGTTAAATGACAGAGAAGTCAGATTCTCCTCCTTGTTGGGAATCATGACAAAGCTCTGGAAAACTCTGGATTTGGTTCACTGAGTGCCAACCACACAGTGTTGCCAACCAGCTCAGCTGCCACAGCACCTCTCTGGAAGGCACAGGAATGTATGTCTCCCTGCTAAGTCAGATCAACTGGAAAGGCCTTTTCCGGGAGGGAACAATGGCACTGGTGTGGGACTGATTTAAGGCCTCACAGATGCAACCTAATTAACTCTGACTCACTTTTGAATTATGGCTCTCCAGAAATGGGGGAAGAGCAGGAGACTAATACAAACATATTACATAGGTTATTTAATTTTGCTATACTAAGATATAAACTATTGTTAAGTTAGGGTTAAATGTTACTGTAAAAATATACGCATATTATTTTAATGTAACAAACATAAAACTTAAAATTGCATGCTATACCCTATTAGACGTTATTTTTATAAACATACAAAATTATTATTTTCTTTTAAACAAATGGCAGCCCCAATTCAGATTATAACGAAAATATATATTCAAAATATTCAAGTATCACATAAATTTTCCCAGCTATCTTTCTACTAATAAAAATCCTCCAGGTTTGGGCACCTGGGTGGCTCAGATGGTTAAGCGTCTGCCTTCGGCTCAGGTCATGATCCCAGGCTCCTGGGATCGAGTCCCGCATCAGGCTCCCTGCTCCTTGGGAGCCTGCTTCTCCCTCTGCCTCTCTCTCTCTCTGTCTCTCATGAATAAATAAATAAAATCTAAATAAATAAATAAATAAATAAATAAAATCCTCCAGGTTTTTCTCACCCTGCACTACGAAAATTCACAATGGCACTACTGTGACAGCTGACTTTTAATTCTTTCATGCTATCCTTACCCAGTGGTACTTTTCAAATACCAAATTCCTTAACATTCCTGAATAAATTTAAATCAATTTTTGTATCATTATATAACTTAAATTATTTCCATAAAATTTTTGTTTAAAACACTGCATGAAATACTATCAATTTTCCAATGCATTTTTACTAAAAAGAAAAAAAAAGCAATAAAACAAAGCAAATAAAAGAAGTACCGGTTGCCCTAGATTTATAAATGTCCACCTTTCCAGCAACTCCATACCACTCTCCATGACTGTGAAGAAAACCTGGTATTTGTTCTAGAATAACAGTTCTCATTACACACATCACAACCAACCAGTAACTTCTGCGAATGATAGTGGCTACTACTCCATGGTGGAGCTTTCCAGAGGAACATGCCTATGTAGCTGGAAAACACTGCATAGCTGCCCTCCTGGGGAGGTCCTGGCCCGCTCCTCCCCTTTGCTACTCCAGCTACAACCCAGCTTTAGATAATCTGTCTGGAAAACAGAAGAGGAGCAGATGTGAAAGCAGAAAGACCCTAGGGAAGCTGAAGCAGAGCCCATGCCTACACAGAGGGGGGGCTTATTCTCTGCCCCTACCTCCAACTTCCGCTTCATAGGCCTTCAGTGGTTAAGGAGCCTCGGGCCCTAAGAAGGCACTGGGGGCCGTGGGGGAGGACTGTTAGGGGAGTGGATGAGAAAAGGAGGTGAAAGTATGCCAGAACGTGCCTGTCTGCCCTAGAATGAGTAGAGCCCAGGGCGCCATTCCCTGTTTCTACAAGTGCGAGGCCCTGCTCAAAGGGTCAGGCTCTTATAGTTCAGCTTTTTGGAAACACCTGGGACTATCACCACAAACAGCTCTGGTTCTGTTAAGAAGCCCTTCCAGGGGGCGCCTGGGTAGCTCAGTTAGTTAAGCATCTGCCTTCAGCTCAGGTCATGATCTGCGGGGTCCTGGGATTGAGCCCCATGTCGGGCTCTCTGCTCAGCAGGGAGCCTGCTTCCCCCTCTCCTCCTCGCTCATTCTCTCTCTCTCTAATAAATAAATAAAATCTTAAAAAAAAAAGAAACACTTTCATGGACTAATGTGAACTTACTATACAACCATTTATAAGTTGAGAATTGCCAGTTAGTGTTCCAGGCGTTTGCATTTCTAGGAAGCCAAGAGAATTAAGAAAAATAAAGGTAATGACCCAAGGCTGCTATGTATAAATTAAATTCTGCCTCATGGCTTAATACAAAAGTCCTAATTTAAAAACAAAATAAAAATACTATTCCATTTAGACCAACAAAAAAACTGAATCAGTGAAAGAAGGTCTTATGAAGTAGTCCATCTAAATACCAACATGCAAGAGTTATTAATTCTTTTATTTATTCTGATGCTACTTTAAGCCTGTTTGAATTATATTTTAGAATCTGTAGTCTCCATGAAGACATTAAATTCAATCTCAGAAAGGGGTCAATAGATTCTTTAGTCATTTGTTTTTTGGTTCCTTCACAAAATTATCTTGCGTCTTTTCTGTCACTGGGGAACTAGGGGCAAATTTTAATGAAAAGATCTATCTTCAGACTTATAGTTTTCTACGTGTGTTTACCTTAAATACTACTAAACAACATCTTGGCAAACAGAATCTTATTAATGACAGAAAATGTTTACTAAGCTTAAATTGAGGTAAAGTAAAAAACAAAGGAAAAGCCAATAGGATTCTAGGTTTCTGGGGTCCATCTATTTATGCCTTAAGTCAAATGTTCAAAGGATGAAAAAACAAATACCAAATACCCTATTTAATGACACTATTTGGTGAGAACCTATCAATTTTCACGGGTGAGCACTTAGGGTATCTTGTTATTTATGCATATATTTCTCCTCCAGAAAAACACATTATAACCTAACCAAATAACGTATCAGGAAAACTGCTCTCTCATTGAGGCTGCTGAGCCACGTTCTAACCAATAAAAGCACGAGGCATGATACATTTTGGCATCGGTTTAGCAAAACAGCAAATCTTTTGATATTTAATTCAGTATTCCATCTTGTAGACATCACTCTTTCTACTAGGCATCCTGGTATGCCTATGTCTTACACCAAAAAGATTAACAAGCCATTCCCCAAATTACTTCACAGCTCCAAATGTGGACTGGAGGTTTACCTGGATACACAGGAACACAGTTCTGGAAATCTTACCTGCGTCCTCGTACCAACAGTCTGGAGGCTTTTCCTAGTAATTCAACTGCCTGTCGTAACCGTTCCTCATTCTGAAGGAATCAAAGAAAAGAGACTATTGGCTGCTTTAATCTAGGAATCTTTTTTTCCTCCCAATAGTTATTTGATAAACAAGTAACAGCACTCGATCAAGCTGGCAGGGGGGAAATACCAAAGGTGTTAATCCATTTTATTAACTAATAAAAAAATACAGTTCAACTGTGAGCACAGAAAAATTTCAAAAAGCAGTCACAGCATTTCTCTGTTTTCCTACATGCTATGGATCTAAACATTCTAAGTATACTTAAAGGAAAAAAAATCAAATTCAAACTTACTTCAAACACATTAGCTGTCTGTTGATATAACTGTACAGCCTTTTCTGGATCTACATTTTCTATAAGCCTATATTAGACAAGAAAATGGGACGTATATGAGAAATAGAAAACTTGTTTTTCAAAGGACTTTATGAAGACAAACAGCCAGTGACCTCTATGCAGACAGCTGTGTCCACACTCACTTGCCAGCTCGCTCCAATGCCATGGCTGCTGTGTCGGGCGTGCCATTTTCTAGGTACATCATGCTGGCTTTCTCAATCAGCTGAACGGCCTCAGGGAGTTTCTGCATCTCCTTCAGGCAAAAGGATACAGCACAGATCAGTAAATGCATCAACTTAAATGCAGAATTAACAATCTGAAAATCATTTTATTCCTAATTCATGAAGGTAGATGATTCAAAATGTTATACAACAAATATATTTAAGACAAAATGCCTTCACATGGTTATTCTTCCCCATCAAGCTTCTTTTAACTAAACTAAAAAGGTATCAGTGAATTTCTACAAAGAGTTCATCACCACTTTAGAATTTCAGAAAAACTTTACAAATGGTGGAACCCAAAACGCTTGCTCTTGACTGTTTTCTAAGATTTATAAATTCTTTGAGCATTTACTGAGTCCCTACTACAAATGAAGCTTACGCCAAAGGCTGCAAACTGGCAGCTCAAGGGCTATACCTCATTTCCAACTGCATCTTGCTTCAGTAGTTTTAAATCAGATCCTTTTACAAAGGTTCTGTTCTATGGCTTCCTACTTTTTTTTTTTTTTAAGATTTTTTTTATTTATTTATTCATGAGAGACAGAGAGAGAGAGAGAGAAGCAGAGCGAGAAGCAGGCTTCCCCACTGAGCAGGGAGCCCGATGCGGGACTCGATCCCAGGAGCCTGGGATCATGACCTGAGCCAAAGGCAGACGCTTAACCATCTGAGCCACCCAGGCACCCGGCTTCCTACTTTTATAAAAGATCACAAGCTGTGGCATCAGCAGGCTCAGGTTCCCACATGGCAAAAATGGGTTGGGAGTGTCAGCAGCTGTCCCTGGAGGCATGGTGCCTCCTGGCAGTGGCCGCATTTCTCCCCACTCCTGGCTGCCCTCCACACCTGGGCACGCCAGTCACTCCCCACGCCCTGAGCTCATCTGAGTCTGCAGACCTCTTCCAAGACAAGTGCCACCAACACATGAACTCTGTGTCTTACTATGAAATCATAGGTCTCAGCATCCTGTGGTCCTTGTATCTATTATCACCAAATCAAAACTCTTCTTAAAAAAGGAACAAAAGTCATTTAAAAGCTAGACATAAAGTTTACAGACATTTTCTACTTAGGGTTGCCATAGTAGATCTTGAAGTAGGCTCCATGTTGACAGCTCCAGGGTTGTTTTCAAGTCTGACTATTCAGTCCCTCACTGAATTGACAAATCCTTTAGGATAACAAACTTGCTGGTCTCATTCTTAGTAACTTCCACATAAAACTTTTTTATTATTTAGCTATGGAGTAAAAAAGGATGGGCTGCCTTCTTAAAAGTTACACTATTTTATATTCTTCCCCATGGTCTTGTAGCATGCCAAAATCATCAAGAAGAAAATAAAAATATGCCTATTTTAGTGGTTTGTGTGCCTTAGTCACCTTACCACTTCTGTGGAGCAAACAGGATATGAAATCTTTTTTTTTTTTTTTTAAGATTTTATTTATTTGAGAGCAAGCGAGAGAGAGTGAGCAAGCAAGAGAGAGAGAGCGCATGAGCAGGGGGGAGGGGCGGAGGGAGAGGGAGAAGCAGACTCCCTGCCGAGCAGGAAGCCAGATGCTGGACTCAACCCCAGGACACTGGGATCATGACCTGAGCTGAAGGTAGACGCCTGACAGACTGAGCCACCCAGGCGCCCCCAGATGATGAAATCTAACAGCTGTAAAATGACAGAGCCAGAGGTTGCTCCAACAAGCAGTGTCTTCCACTCTGCTTTCTTCTACATACTATCACTTCCTAAAGCCTTGTTGGGGGATGAATATGAAAGTCTGTATGACAATCTGATGGAAATTTGAACTCACAGAATTAACACTGGGCCACATAGCTCAGGACCCCTAATGCCATTGAGGACTGTCTAAAGGCATTTAATTTAAATACGAGAGCATGCCAGAAAGCATTTTCTCTTGTCCTGTCCCCTATCGACTAGGTTTACTTTTCCTTCATTCAAAGTAGTACCTTCAAATCCTCAAATTAAACATATACTAGTAACGGAAATTATGTCTAAATAATATCTTTTGATGAAGACTCAAGTCTTAGCACAGCTGTTAGAATATAAACTGAAGCTGTGAGGATTATATATTATAGTGTTCTAGCATTTTTGTACTTTAAAAGGAATGTATCCTAATAATAGGCACAAAGTACACCAAGATGACAAGAGCCATCTGGGAGCTTCCTAGTTCTCAGGGGGAACTGGGACAACAGAAGGTCAGGGCGGATAATCTGGCTCCTTTGGCTATAAAAAAAATTCTATTTGCTAAGAAATTGCTGCTGATAACCTGACCTGCATCACCTAATATCAATCTGGTTGCACATTTGTTTTATCCAGAAAAGCTTTATTCCAATGGCTATGTAACAGTTTCTTATAAGGAAGCATCATAATTTATTTAAATATTTTATTATTAAAAATTTAGGTAATTGCTATTTTTGTTAAGCAATATGCAATAAACATTTTTACACATAAATCTTTGCTATCTATTTCTTTACAAGAGAGTCACAAAATTGGAATTCCTGGCTATGAAAATTCTTAAAGCTGTTGATATACATTACGAAAGTAATTTTTTAAATGACAGTAGAAAATCTGCATTAAAAAGCTAAATGTAAAGTGTAGGATAATTGTGTGCATTTTCTCAATTTGTGTGTGTATATAAGTGAAAATGTATGTGCATAGAAAAATAACTAGGAGAAAAAAAACCTAAATACATTACTAACATTTTTTGGTCTTTCCAGTTTCTACATGTTCTACAGTGAGCATATACTCACTTAAAAAAAATCAGCAAGATTAAAAAATTCACAGAAATTTAAAAAAAACACAAGTTTTACTGAAGTGTGAGTTCTTAGGGGCGCCTGGGTGGCTCAGTCGTTAAGTGTCTGCCTTCGGCTCAGGTCATGATCCCAGGGTCCTGGGATCGAACCCCGCATTGGGCTCCCTGCTCGGCGGGAAGCCTGCTTCTCCCTCTCCCACTCTCCCCGAGAGAGAGTTCCCTCTCTCACTGTCTCTGTCAAATAGATAAATAAAATGTTTAAAAAAAATAAAAATAAAGTGTGAGTTCTTAAAACAAAGCTTTATAATAATAATAATTCAAACAGCTTTTACTACATTCGGGAACATAAAAATGGAAAGGAAATGTTCAATTTCAATTGCTACTTGGTATACTTTGAGAGTGAATGTCAAAAAGTGTCATAAAGTACATGTTTTTTTCTTACCACAACAGGATATTAATTCCCAACCTGCTTTTAAGAGGCAGAAATATGAAAAGTGGCTCAGGTACATGAGCCAATGTATTGCATTCAATAAGAATCAGAATTAAATAGCAATAGCTTAGGTCTAAGGTTCTCTTCAATGCCAACTTTTAAAAAACAGCAAAAATCTCTTCTTTCTATAACCCAAGGGTAGTAAAAAATACATATACTTGTAAATTTTTACTACATTAAAATGTCCTGAAGTTCTCAGAAGTAGGGAAATCTCTCACACAGCTTTTTGTCTAGCAACACTCTCCTGGTTACAGAGCTTAGAAACTTGTTAATACAGTCTTAAATTTCACCTTTAAAACTCCCTATCTTAAGACACATACAATGCACCCTTGGGTCCAATTAGCATTACTTTGGATAAGAAATCTTAGCACCTCCTGCCTTACAGCTAGGAGACTTTTCAACCTCCATACAAATTTACTTTAACATCCTGTAGTTAGTAATTCATTTTACCTACAGAACAGTTGTGGCACATTACTGACCTTCAGCATCATGCCAGCTTGCTCATAAGCTCTGCAAAGAGAATACAATTTCTCAGATGAGACGTTCATGAAATAAGGGGGAGGAGAAACTTTCTACCACAGATATGAGAAGTTATGTCAATTAAAACTGGCTCAGGCACTACATATTGCTTTAGGCTTTTAATAACACATTTTTTTCCTTTTTATTTTTGTGGGCAATAATGCCTTGGAAACAACAGACATCTGAGCTAAAGGTATTTTATTTTGCAGATGCAAAATTAAGTAAAATTCAAAATGTTAAAGGACTTTCTATGTGACAAACCTAGCAAGTTTTGAAACAAGTAAATACTCTCCACAAAAGCAGGAGAAAGACCATTTCTCTCCACAAGTACTACGAATTATCAAAGATAGAGGGAAAAAAAAAGATTCTAACTTACTTGTTCTTTAAGTTATTGAAGAAAACTGTCCTAAAAATATTTGGTAAATTGAATGTAAACACTGTATAACTTAGTTAGGAGTGACTTAGTTTCTAAGGGTCAGGTAAAGACCGAAACAAATGGAAATGATGATTTTATTTAAATCAATACAAAATAATTCACTATTTATGGATTTGTAACTTAGGAAAAATTTACTGACCTATGGAAAAACAACATTTAAAACAATCTCCAAATACATGAAAATATGGAAAATATTTACTTACTTGGCAGCATGAAAAAGACTGAATGGATGTAACAAAGTCAAAATTAAGGAAAAAAACCGAATCAACAGTTTCCAAAGATCTACTATTTAAAAAACAATGTCAACTGCCCTAGTCTGTTCCAAAAGACAAATTTTACAAACAGATGAAGCAATCATTTTACGCCTGTTGCTGTCTCTCACAGCTACATAATTCACAAAAACACTGACAAAACACTACATAGATTTTTAAGCTATTTCCATTGCCCATTAATCTGAAAAGTGTCACTGCAATGCAAAGTTATTTACAACCATAATTTGAAAATGAGATAAAACTGACATTTTTTACTTAGTAAGTTTTAAAATACCTCAGGAAAATTTATTGTTTTAAACTACTTAAAAATCTTTTTTTCAAATACCTAAGAAAGACTATATTTTAAAAATATTTCCTGAGCAGTTTATACATTTCTAATATCCGAGCCGACTGCTTCATTCTTCAGCACCTGTGCATTTCCCTCACTTCATCCCAAGGAAAATCAGCATCAAGCAAATGCAGAAACAACAGAAATAAACTCTCAAATATAGCTCTGCAAAACAGTGTGAACCTTATGATTAAAAGTCTCTGTAAATGCTCCTTTGGGGTCTAAAAATACAGAATTTTTCTAATCATTTTCTAATTTAGAAATAGCATCGTAGTCCACATGTAGCAAATTTATAATAAAAGAAAATAATGAGTTGCTGTCCAAATCATCGAATTGTGGAATTTCTTTGTAAAGGTTTAAAAAGATACGCCCTGTTATTCTCATGGGCAACAGCTTCTCTCAGGCAGGCATCTTTTGCTTGCTCAAACTGTTTGGCATTTTTAAAAGCAACAGCTGAAATAGAACAACAACAAAAAACACACTTTGTAATTCATTGTTAAAAAAACTTCAAGTGAATCATTACCAAAATCTGCATCATGGGGGAAGCATTAGAAAATATCCTTATTTTAATCAAATACCCAAGAAGTTTTATACAATGCTACTTTTTTCTAAGGAATTTTCTTACAACCTTTTTGATTACCAATAACTTAGAAGTACTTTCAAAAGTTTAGTGTTTTGTTTTGTTAAATCGTAGACTACTGGCAATAAATCAGGGCCACTTCCACTCAAAACCAAGTCTTTTTAACAGCAGAACCTAAGCTTTGAAAAACTAAGATCGCATCAGTCAAACCAATACTCCCAAATAACAGGTCCCGTCACAAAAGACACTACCTTACTTCACTGGTTTTACATTTAATAATAAAGACAGTACTTTAGTTACAGCTTATTTCATCTTTTAAATTATTGAGAAATGGAAGACCAATAAACATATCCAACATTTGTACAACGAACCCTCCTTTTGGCACAATCTTGAAATAAATGCCTAAAACATTAATAATGCATTTCTTTTAAATAAAGCTTTTAAACTGTTTAGTAGGTTTCTATGAAAATGACATCTCCACTGTCCAAAGAGCTAAAATATATTGCTCACTGTTGTAAAAGTGTCATCATCAGAGCAAAACAGTAAGAAGTGGCCCTAAAATAGGATCTTCCAGATTTGAGGAAACTTGCCAAGGGTTCTTTACAAATAAAAAAAAAAAGGATACTGTAAAAAAAAAAAAAAAAAAAATTTGTTAAAACCAAACTCTTAAAATTCTCTTTAATAAAATATTGAAAATAAACAAACTATTGAACTATTTTCAACCCTGGACTTCCACATTTTGCTTTTTAAAAAATTTACTCTAATGATTAAACACATTTTGCATAACTCCTTAAAGAAAATAAACAAAGGATGATTTAATGGGAAAATATGACCTGAAATATGTATTTGTGACAGCAGCTCCTGGTCTCAGATGCTTATAAAACAAACCTGGGATAAATTTCCCTCACGAGTGTTGCAAAATGTTGTGCCCTCCAGTTACAAAAGCGTTCTTATACAAGGTGTTCATAGAATCTATGTGAAGTTTGAACTTTTAATAATTTTCCTTTTAAACAGGACATAATTTGCATAATTCGACAGAGAATTTAGTCAGGATTTAAATAAAAGTGCTAAAGACTCATTAGCTTTCTATTTACCTGATTTCTCTATTCTTTGGTGATATACTGAAACTAAAGTCTATCAAAAGCACATTATGTAAGTGGTCTCTATGTTAGGCTAACAAACGTGATCTGAACTATGGCTGAAACATGACTGCAAATGTGTTCCAAGTACTTCAAAAACTGCACTATGCTTTGCATCCAAAATAATTGTGCATATGCTGAAAGCTATCATTCCATAATTAAATGCTAAATTTTTAGTAAGGTCCCTCTCTGTTGCATATTGCAGATCATTTTTATCTTATATACAGATAAATTTATTCAAATACTTATGTAGCTTAACACTTCCTGAACATTTATCAGCGGATCTCAAAAGTGCGGTTCTTAAAAAGACACGTGCCAAACAAACACAGGATTTGCAGATCTGCTCAGAATGAGGTTAATTAAAAAATAAAAAGTTAACAAAGAAAAGTCTTTATTCAATTATAGGAAGTATAATAAAGGCATATGGTGAAAACTCCTGGAAACGGTGTGCAACTGATTAAAGTTCAAGAATATCTGAACAATGCGAAAAACCTGCAGCTATGTACTGCCAACCCTACTCGCCCCTGCTGTCAGGAGAGAGCTGCAGGTCACTGGATCTCTAACTCAGCCCTCAACACATCTGAAAACAAGTGGGAAAAAAGCAAGGGCTTGGGCAGGTTTGTTTAACTATTAAAATCTCACAGAAAGCATTAAGTGTAAGTATTTTGTGGAGGTGAAGTTATCAGCCACATATTGGAGTCCCACATCACACGTACCTGCTTTTCCATATTCAGAAGCAGCACTGTCATAATCTGGTTTCCATTTTAAAAAACCAGTTTTCAGGCTAAAATGAAAAGAAGACACATTTAACAGAAGTTCCCAACCACATTAATAAGTCAGAATCCTGCTTTAATGGCTTTGTAGGTGATTAAAAAAAGACACTGGGTACAAAGTCCCCATCTCACCCATCTCCACTCAAATTTATTTACAATGAAATACAACCTCGCCATTTTCCCTCTATCACAGACATGGTTTTTTCGTTTTGATATGTCTGTATAATACCAAGTACAGCAGAGATTCTCAGTGCATGGTCCCCAGACCAGCATTACCAAGAAATGTGCTAGAAATATAAACTCATCCCACTCAGACCTACAGAACCACCAACTCCGGGGTGGCAGCAGCAATCAGGGTATAACAAGCCCTGAGGTGCATTAAAGCTTGAGATCCTCTGAAGCACAGCATCAAGTAAGCAGTTGGATTCGGGAGACTGAAGCTCAGGAGAGGCTAGAGATATTAACTAAGGAGCCAGTGGCATATGCCACATCAAGGGCCTAGTTAAGATCTGCCAGGGAGATCTCAGAGAGTGAGCCGAAAGACAACAGAATACAAACATTCAGAGCAATAACACAGGGAGTCAAAAACCAGGTTGAGAATTAGCCACCAGTGAACAGGAAGGGTAGCCAGAAAGATGAGGATGTTATAAGAACAACAGAAGCTGCTTTCTAGGATCACTACTGGTTTCTCAGATGTCAAAGCAAAGGACCATCAATTTTGAGTTCTTACATTACTTGCTCTTTCTTCAATATTTTATTTCTTTTTTAAATAATTTCAGACTTTCAGTTTAAAGTCACTTAGTGACTGATTGGCAAAAAACAGATGGCAGAGGAGTAGGGGACCCTATTCCAACTGGTCCCCGGAATTGAGCTGGATATCTACCAGACCACCCTGAGCATCCACGAAATCAGCCTGAGATGTAAGAATATCTGGATCTCTACAAACAGAATATCGCGGGTGGTTGGTTTCGAGATACGAAGTGGGGAGCTGTGATTCCGGGGGCAGATATCGGAGGATAAACGGCAGTGGGTGGGAGCCTGGCCATGGGGATCCTACACCGCCCGTGAGCAACAGCCTCCTGTGCTGGGGACTGGGCACAGACTTGCAGACCTGTAGTGGTGGGGAAAGGACTTTAGGGCAGCCCCTGGGACGGAAACCGGGAGCGGCACGGTCACGTGTGCAAACTGGGAGCGGCTGGCGGTTTTAGAAGAACAAAGGGCAGAGACGTGCCCCGACCTGGAGGCAGGACTGGGGGCGCTGCGGAGGGGTGCACAACCCAGAACCTGCAGTTTAGAGCAGCACAGACAGACAGAAATGGAGAAACTGTGGCTGGAGAGCTCACTGACGAACAGACTGCGATCTCTCTGCTCTGAGGCAGAGGGTTGGAAACGGTCTCTTCTGCTCTGACTCTCGGAAGAGAGGCAGAAAGCCTCCCAGGAAAACCGCCAAAGAACAAAAGCCCCCCAAAACTAGTTCCCACTGAGCCCATCCCCAGCCACAGAGGGGGCAGGGCAACTCTCCCCAAACAGGGTTGCCTGAGTAACAGCGCGGCAGGCCCCTCCCCCAGAAGACAGGCTGGGAAAACAAGAGGCCAGCAACCCTAAGGTCCCTAGAAAACAGGTGCATCGTGCTTGGGTTGTGATCAATAATTTGGACTCTATACATTCCCTCAACCACCCATCAACAGAATGACTAGGAGGAGGAACCCCCAAAATAGAAAAGACTCAGAGATTATGACTTATGCTGCAGATTTACAAATGCAGATATAACCAAAATGTCGGAGATGGAATTCAGGCTAGCAATTGTGAAGACAATGGCTAGAATGGAGAAATCAATTAATGGCAACATAGAGTCTCTAAGGGCAGAAATGAAAGCTGAACTGGCAGAATTTAAAAATGCTATCGATGAGATCCCATCTAATCTAGATAATCTAACAGCTAGGGTAACTGAGGCAGAAGAACGAATAAGTGACCTTGAGGACAATTTAATAGATAAAAAGGGAAAAGAGGAGGCCAGGGAAAAACAACTCAGAATCCATGAAAATAGAATCAGAGAAATAAGTGACACCATGAAGCATTCCAATGTCAGAATTATTGGAATCCCTGAGGGGGTGGAGAGTAAGTGAGGACTAGAAGATATATTTGAGCAAATCGTAGCTGAGAACTTCCCTAATCTGGGGAATGAAACAAACATTCGCGTCCTAGAGGCAGAGAGGACCCCTCCCAAGATCAAGGAAAACAGGCCCACACCCCAGCATGTAATAATAAAACTCGCAAATCTTAGAACCAAGGAAACCATCTTAAGGGCAGTTGGAGGAAGAGATTCCTTACGTACAGATGGAGGAACATCAGAATAACGTCAGACCTATCCACAGAGACCTGGCAAGCCAGAAAGGCCTGGCAAGACACATTCAGGGTACTAAACGAGAAGAACATGTAGCCAAGAATACCTTATCCGACAAGGCTGTCATTTAGAATGGATGGAGAGATGCAGAGCTTCTAAGACTGGCAGAAACTGAAAGAATATGTGACCACTAAGCCAGCCCTGCAAGAAATATTAAGGGGGGTTCCATAAAAGGAGAAAGACCCCAAGAGTGATATACAACAGAAATTTACAGGGACAATCTATAAAAATAAGGTCTTCACAAGCAACATGAGGACAATAAATTCTTATCTTTCAATAATCACTCTCAACGTGAACGGCCTAAATGCTCCCATAAAATGGCACAGGGTTGCAGATTGGATAAAAAGACAGGACCCATCCATATGCTGTCTACAAGAGACTGATTTTGGACTTAAAGATACATCCAGACTGAAAGTGAAGGGATGGAGATCCATCTTCCATACCAGCGGACCTCAAAAGAAAGCTGGGGTAGCAATTCTTATATCAGACAAATTAGATTTTAAACTAAAGTCTGTAGTTAGAGACACAGAAGGACACTATATCATTCTTAAAGCGTCTATCCAACAAGAAGATCTAACAATTGTAAATATCTGTGTTTGGAAGCAGCCATCTACATAAGCCAACTGTTAACCAAAATAAAGAGTCATATTGATAACAATACGTTAATTGTAGGAGACCTCAATACTCCACTTTCAGCAATAGACACATCATCTAAGCAGAAAATCAACAAAGAAACAAGAGCTAAAATGACACACTGGACCAGACGGACCTCAAAGATATACACAGAACATTCCACCCTAAAACAACAGAATACTCATTCTTCTCGAGCACACATGGAACTTTCTCCAGAATAGACCACATACTGGGTCACAAATCAGGTCTCAACTGATACCAAAAGATTGAGATTATTCCCTGCATATTCTCAGACCACAGTGCTTTAAAACTGGAACTCAATCACAGGAAAAAATTCGGCAGAAATTCAAACACTTGGAAGCTAAAGACAACTCTGCTCAAAATGATTGGGTCAACCAGGAAATCAAAGAAGAACTTAAACAACTCATGGAAATCAATGAGAATGAAAACACATGGGTCCAAAACCAATAGGATACTGCAAAGGCAGTCCTAAGGGGGAAATACATAGCCATCCAAGCCTCACTCAAGAAAATAGAAAAATCCCAAATTCACCAACTAACCCTACACCTTAAAGAACTAGAGAAAAAGCCACAAATGATGCCTAAGCCACGCATTAGAAGAGAAATAATTAAGATTAGAGCAGAGATCAATGAATTAGAAACCAGAAACACAGTAGATCAGATCAACGAAACTAGAGGTTGGATCTTTGAAGGAATATATAAGATCGATAAACCACTGGCCAGACTTATCCAAAAGAAAAGAGAAAGGATCCATTAATAAAATTATGAATGAAAGGAGACAGATCATGACTAACACCAAGGAAACAGAAACAATTATTAGAAATTATTATCAACAACTATATACCAATACATTAAGCAACCTGGAAGAAATGGATGCCTTCCTGGAAACCTATAAACTGCCCAGACTGAAACAGGAAGAAATTGGCAATCTGAATAGGCCAATAACCAGTGGCAAGATTGAAGCAGTGATCAAAAACCTCCCAAAAAACAAGAGTCCAGAGCCTGATGGATTCCCTGGGGAATTCTACCAAACATTCAAAGAAGAAGTAATACCTATTCTCCTGAAGCTGTTTCAAAAAATAGAAATAGAAAGAAAACTTCCAAACTAATTCTATGAGGCCAGCATTACCTTAATCCCCAAACCAGGCCAAGACCCCATCAAAAAGGAGAATTTCAGACCGATATCCCTGATGAATATGGATTCCAAAATCCTCAACAAAATCCTAGCTAATAGGATCCAACAATATATTAAAGGGATCATCCACCACGACCAAGTGGGATTTATCCCCGGGATGCAAGGGTGGTTCAACATTCGCAAATCAATGTGATAGAACACATTAATAAGAGGAGGGAGAAGAACCATATGGTCCTCTCAATTGATGCAGAAAAAGCATTTCACAAAATACAACATCCTTTCCGGATTAAAACTCTTCAGAGTATAGGGATAGAGGGAACATTCCTCAAGTTCATAAAATCCATCTATGAAAAACCCACAGCGAATATCATCCTCAATGGGGAAAAGCTGAGAGCCTTTCCCTTAAGATCAGGAACACGTCAAAGATGCCCACTCTCGCCACTATTGTTCAACATAGTACTAGAAGTCCTAGCAACAGCAATCAGACAACAAAAAGAAATAAAAGGTATTCAAATTGGCAAAGAAGTCAAACTCTCTCTTTTCACAGATGACATGATACTTGATGTGGAAAACCCAAAAGACTCCACCCCCAAATTGCTAGAACTCATACAGCGATTCAGTAATGTGGCAGGATACAGAATCAATGCACAGAAATCAGTTGCTTTCTTATACACTAACAACGCAACTGTAGAAAGAGAAATTAGAGAAACGATTCCATTTACAATAGCACCAAAAACCATAAGATACCTCGGAAAAACCTAACCAAAGAGGTAAAGGACCTATACTCTAGGAACTCTCATGAAAGAAATTGAAGACACAAAAAGATGGAAAAATATTCCATGCTCATGGATCAGAAGAATAAACATTGTTAAAATGCCTATGCTACACAGAGCAATCTATACCTTCAATGCCATCCCAATAAAAATTCCAATGACATTTTTCAAAGTGCTGGAACAAACAATCCTAAAATTTGTATGGAATCAGAAAAGACCCTGAATCGCCAAGGAAATGTTGAAAAAGAAAAACAAGGCTGGGGGCATCACGTTGCCCAATTTCAAGCTCTATTATAAAGCTGTGATCACCAAGACAGCATGGTACTGGCACAAAAACAGACATATAGACCAGTGGAACAGAATAGAGAACCCAGATATGGACCCTCAACTCTATGGTCAAATAATCTTGGACAAAGCAGGAAAAAAACATGCAATGGAAAAAAGGCAGTCTCTTCAATAAATGGTGCTGGGAAAACTGGACAGCCACATGCAGAAGAATGAAACTTGACCATTCTCTAACACCATACACAAAGATAAACTCAAAGTGGATGAAAGACCTCAATGTGAGACAGGAATCCATCAAAATCCTAGAGGAGAACATAGGCAGTAACCTCTCTGACATCAGCCACAGCAACCTCTTTCAAGATACATCTCCAAAAGCTAGGGAAACAAAAGCAAAAATGAACTTTTGGGACTTCATCAAGATAAAAACCTTCTGCACAGCAAAGGAAACAGTCAACAAAACAAAGAGGCAGAAATTCAAACACTTGGAAGCTAAAGAATAGAAGATATTTGCAAATGACACTACAGACAAAAGGCTGGTATCCAAAATCTATAAAGAACTTCTCAAACTCAACACCCAAAAAACAATCAAGTCAAAAAATGGGCAGAAGACATGAAAAGACAGTTCTCCAAAGGAGACATACAAATGGCTAACAGACACATGAAGAAATGTTCATCATCATTAGCCATCAGGGAAATTCAAATCAAAACCACACTGAGATACCACCTTACACCAGTTAGAATGGCAACAATGGACAGGGAAAGAAACAACAAATGTTGGAGAGGTTGTGGAGAAAGGGGAACCCTCTTACAGTGTTGGTGGGAATGCAAGTTGGTACAGCCACTTTGGAAAACGGTGTGGAGGTGCCTCAAAAATTTAAAAATAGAGCTACCCTATGACCCAGCAATTGCACTCCTGGGTATTTACCCAAAGACACAGATGTAGTGAAAAGAAGGGCCATATGCACCCCAATGTTCATAGCAGCAATGTCTGCAATAGTCAAACTGTGGAAAGAGCTGAGATGCCCTTCAACAGATGAATGGATAAAGAAGATGTGGTCCATATATACAATGGAATATTACTCAGCCATCAGAAAGGATGAATACCCAACTTTTACATCAATGTGGATGGCAAGCAGAGAAAGTCAATTATCATATGGTTTCACTTATTTGTGGAACATAAGGAATAGCATGGAGGACACTAGGAGAAGGAAGGGAAAAATCAAGGGGGGGAGGAATTCGGAGGGAGAGATGAACCATGAGAGACTATGGACTCTGAGAAACAAACAGGGTTTTAGAGGGGAGGGCGTAGGGGGGATGGGTTAGCCTGGTGATGGGTATTAAGGAGGGCGAGCACTGGGTGTTATACGAGAACAATGGATCATGGATCACATCAAAAACTAATGATGTATTATATGGTGACTAACATAACATAATAAAATTAAAAAAAATAAAGTAACTCAGTGACTGTCAAACTTATTGTGTGCGTAAGAATTGGTAAATAAATGCCATCTTAAATTCTAAATTTCAATTCAATTAGGAAAAGCCTGCTTACATGTAACACTGTCAGGTACTTCAAAGGAGCACCTTAATTGAAAGGGGAATCCCCAAGAGCCCTCAGAAGTATGCCTTCATTGTGTGACACTTGTGTGAACTGCCCCGAAGCCCTAACTTTTAAGCAACATTTTTTTGCCAATTAAATGCATTTAACAGGGTGGGGGCTCAGTCGGTTAAGCGTCTGCCTTCGGCTCAGGTCATGAGTCCAGGGTCCTCGGATGGAACCCTTCATAGACCTCCCTGCTCAGTGGGGTGCATGGCTCCCCCTCTCCCACTCCCCCTCTCTTTCTGTAAAATAAATAAATAAAATCTTTAAAAAAATGTATTTAACATTTGTGTTTGCATATATACTAAGATCCAAACGTGTGAGCAATTTTTTAGACTTACCAAGAATATTATTGCTCAGAAAAATAAAATCCTTAAATTGCAGTCTATCTAATCCACAAAACTGGGGAAGTACTGCAATAAGACGAAATTCTAATCCCCCACCCCTACCCCTTATAAGGGGTTCATTATATTCTATATATTAACATAATTTGTTAAATCCCACCCAAAACACAGTACAATCATTCAGTTGTCTAACGTGCTACACATGTAAAAAACTAGAGATTTAAAAATATAGCAAATCATCCCCAGTCAACTAAACATCTCTAATAAGAGAGAAGGCACACCGGTTGATTTAATGGCTCTACCTGTTAGTGTTTTTGATATTTTGGTCAAGAGTCAATAAGGAAGTTCTGTTGAGGCCAAAAGATCAATTTCCACAGGACCAAAACCCACAAAACCACTATTTGCTTGAGGGAAATGATTAAAATTACAAAACTATCTGGCAATATTGAACCATATTATCATTAGAAAGCAGAGAAAAACGCAATCTTCTCTCCTAAGCTCCTGGCCGATTTTTCCTGTCATCTACTGACAACTCTGTCTAGAGGCACTTCATACATAACACACTCGAGCTGAATCCAGCAACTGCCTGCCCCAGCCCTACCCCACCCATCATGTTCATGCCTCAGTATCCCCTATCCTAGCTGAAGGTCTCTCCTCTACTTCATCTCCCAAATTAGAAACCTAAGAGTCAAGCTTTTCCCTCCATATCCAGTCATTAAAACTTACCAATCCTGACAGACGTCATCCAATCCTGCCTCTTGTATTGTTACTTTATTTTTTTTAAGATTTTATGTATTTTATTTAAGACAGAGTGAGCATGAGCAGGGGAAGGGGCAGAGGGAGAAGCAGACACCCTGTTCAGCAGGGAGCCAGATGCGGGGCCCAATCCCAGGACCCCGGGATCATGATCTGATTCGAAGGCAGACTTGAGCACTGCAAAAGATCTAACTCCCTCCCACAGGCGCCCCTTGTATTGTTACTTTAATTCAGACCCTCATCACAAGTCTATTAACCCTTCATGTAAAGTCCCCTTTCCTGCCCGCTCTCCCCTTCCATTCCCCCCACCTTGAGGATATTAATTCTCCCTTACTTTGTATACCCACTGAAACAACTGCATACCTCTATTCTAACATTTAATATCTTATTTTTACTCATCTGTGGACTTGTATGCCTGCCTGTGAATTCTAAGCTCCTGAGTAAAGGACCACTTTTGGTTACCTCAATAACCCCAATGTCTGGGTCAGATATATGCTTGCTGAATATGCCAAAGTTCTCACTTTTCTCTCCCACTGTACATGCTCCACTTTGCCACCACATTTCCTTCGCCAAAAATAAACCTAACTAGGTCCCACTGGTTATATGATCCCTAGAAAAGCTAAGGTTCAGGACCATCTGAAGGGCAGCCCCTTCACGGTAGGACCCCAACTTCTCTGCTCTAGCTCATCCCCTAGCACTGCAACTACTCTACATTAACTATTCCCGCATATTTTCAGGCCCATGCACATACAACACGCTGTGCATAGATTCTGTCTCACAGGCTTTGCCTTCTCTCTAAAAAATTCCTTATTTTTCCAGGCCCCGCTCAGAAATCACCTCTGGGAAACCTTCCTAAATCTCTCCAGACAGAATAAACTTCTTCCCCCCGTGCTACCAAAGCAAAGTTAACACAGCTTTATCATGGTGCTTATTAAACACACTATTCTAATACTTTTATGTTTGCTCCCAGTAAAAAAAGTAAGATTGTTGTCGGCATCTCCTGCACCAAAAGAGCTCCAGTACTTTACACACTGCCTGGAAGGAGTAATACAGTACAACAGAAAGAACTTGAATTTTTTCCACTGTTCAAAACCTGGCGCTGCCATCTTTCACTGGGCAGCCTTGGGCAAGTCATCATAACGCTTGTCCAGGCCTCACCTCCTCTTCTGTTTATCGAAAGTTGTAAAGATCTCGGATCAGGTATGTAAAGCATCTAACACACAGCACCACGTAGACTTTTCATTTTCTGTAATTGCCAGATAAAAATTCGTTGCGGTAATGACACTGAGGAGGGGAGTGTTCAAAGGACTGACTTGAGCAGGATCAGTTCAATTCTGCAAATATTTGTTGGGTGCCTACTATTTACGTATCAGAAGCTGGGAGACACATAAAATGACTAAGGAAGAGCAAACCCTAGGAACCAGATATTGGGACACGACAAAAGACCCCCGCGGAATTTTCAGATACATCTGTAGCCCCCTTCCCAACACGAGAATCTTTTAGAGCGCTGGTTCTCAACAAGGCGAGCCCCACCCCCACCCCCCCGCAGGAGTCAGTTTTGGTTGTCACGAAGAGGAAAGAGAAGTGCTGCGGGCATCTAGGTAGAGCCCAGGGATGTTGCTAAACTACAATGCACAGGGCAGTCTCCTCAACGAATCATCCGTTCCGGAGTGCCCAGACCAAAAGCAACAGAGACTCCAGCCCACAGACCCCAGAAAAGAGCAGAGACGACTTCCGGCAGGGGGACAAGTCCGCTTCCGGAGGTGCAGTAGGCCCCGCCCCGGCCCCCAGGCCGCCGAAGCCACCGCCTTCCCGGCTCGCTCTCCGGCGCCCTCCCTCCAACTCCCGGACCGCCTAGGCCGGCATGGGGTACGGACCCAGCGCCGGGACAGCGGCCCACGTCTGAGGCTCTCACTCACTATTTCTCTGCTTTGGCGAGGTGCTCCAGCCCCTCATTTATCTTCTGAGCCGCCATCTCGAAGGTCCGGGCCGTGACGTGGAAGAGGAGAGCCCGGCTGAGGCGGCGTGGGAACGCCGAGTGAAAGCCGGGCCGGCGCCACAGCTCAGCTGCTACAGGGGCCTATAGGGCTCAAACCTAATGCGGCAAAGCAGCCTCGGGAGCCGGGAGGGGCGCAGCGCAGGCATACACCGCGCAGGCGCAGAGCGCCAGGGTTCGCCTGAGCCGCAGGCGTCTAGCGCAAGCGCAGTGGGCACTGAAGGCCGTTCATTCCTGCATTCATTCATTCAGTATTTATTGAGCACCTAATATATGCCGGGAACTGTTCCAAGCATCAGGAAATCAGTAGGGAGTACAACAGACAAAAAAACCCGCCCTCGTGGAGGCTTGCTTTTCCATTCATGTGAAACACGTTGGTACTATAATTACGGATTATGGAACAAATTACATTCGTTCCATAGCTGGAATAGTGTTCATTCATTCATCCTGCCTCTGAGCGCCAACTATATGTCAGTCAGTAAGCAAAACAGTCCCGTTTACTGTCAAATAGTCACCCGACAGACACAAACTCTGGTGAGTGCTCTGAATGAAAAGTTCAGGGAGTTAGATCTTTTGCAGTGCTCAAGCAGAAATAACAGCCAGTAATACTCTTGGCTCAACTGATAACTCACGGTCATTTCAATATCCACATAGATGATTCCTGCAATGCCTATGCACCAACTCAGCCACCCATTGCCAGGATCACACCCTTGACCTTACTAATTACTAGTAACTGTGTGCCTTCCACTATGTCCATTTTCTTCACCTTCAACAGAACTCTCTTTTTCCTATTCTTCTGCTCTTATTCACACTTCCCTCTTTACCCAGCATAGATTCCATGTTCCATCATTTTAGCTACTCTGTGGTAGCTAAGCCTCAACTTCCTTGGTCCTACCCCCTTCCTCCCTTCCTCCCTCCTCTCTCCTTGTCTGGAAAAGCCCCAACTCTCCACCTACTCTGGAACTGCTCTTGAGCAAGTAAACGTGGCTGGAGAAAAAACAAATTAGCATGCTAACATTACTCAATTTAACGATCATAAACATCAAGGAGATCTTTGGTGCTGCTGAGCAACCGTACTGCATTTTCCTGTCACATTACTCACCCACTCACTAGGATGGCTGCTCACACCCTCTTTCTCCTCAAAATTCCCACACAATCTCCCCGCCTGCCTGCCAACTCTTACTTCTTGTTTCATAGGAAAGAGCAACTGAAGAGAGATCTTGGTTTTGGCCTCCTCAGCCCATCTACCAATTACCCGTATCTTTTCCTAAATAATCTGCCTTTTCTCTAGTGAATGTCTCTCTCATCTGTCCTCATGTCCTTATTTAGTCTCATGGGTATAAGCACCATCCATGCACAAGGCTTGCCATCATCATCCTGTTGTCTAGCCTGAGCCTCCTTATATGGAGGCACAGCATTCCAAGGGGGGAAAGTGGAAGCTATGGGCCTCCTGGAACCAATTCAAAATCACTTCTGCCATTTTTATTGGTCAAAGCAAGTCACGAGGCAAGTCCACACCCAAGAGGTGGGGAAATAAAGGAGTTGCAAATATTGTGACTGCAACTTCCAGTTCATCATAGCTCTAGAATGACTGGTTCAGTAGAAGAGGACCTGGGCTTTTATCAGGAAACAGTGAATTTTTATATTTTTAGGTGAAATTAGACTTAACATTCCCCCAGTGCCATCAACCTCCAAAACCACTGTAAGTACCAGAAGTGTTTCTAAGGGATCTGCCCCCAAAGTCTGTAGCCTCCTTCTCACTCTCCCTTTTTCACACATTCACTTATTAAATGTTTTCTGAGCACCTACTCTACACAAGGTGCTGTTCCTCCACACTCAGGACACAATTGTAAGCAAGAGAACATGAGGGGGAAGAATTCTCTTCCTCTCCCCATCTTAGAATCTCCAACTGGGGCCCTGTAAATTAGACTGGCAAAGACAGATCAACAGGAGGAAAGCATGCAGATTTATTTAATATAAGTTTCACAGGACACGGAGCCTTCCTAAGGAAATGAAAACCTGCAAAAGTGGTTAAACCTGAATGTTGTTATGCTAGATTTGACGAAGGGTGGAAAGTTGTGGGAAATACGACAGGACAAAGGGTATGAGTTAAGGGTAGTAAACTGAAGGAAACTTGGCAAGGACTATTCATTCAGGGTCCCCTCAGCATCCCTCCATCTTCTGAGATAAGGATACCTCTTTTCCAGGTATGAGAGAGCACTTCTCATAGGCGGGCTGATGGGTGCAGGACATGCTCCCCCAAAATATGTCACCTTGGCTTGTTGACTATTTTAAGCTGAGGAAGTTTGAGCAAACAGCAGAAGCAGGAGGATCACTCTGACCTCCTCTGCCCATCGCCCTTCTGTCCTGAAACAGGTCATAACATCCTCACGTGGGAGCTGCCTCCCTACACCTGGAGGAACCAACATCCTTATCTCCAAAGACTGAGGGACACAGAAGAATCTGAACACACAGGCCTTGCTATAAGCTTCCCCCACTTTACCACCATTACCTCCTGCTCCTTAACCTGTCATATTCCTCCGTGCCTGCCCACTCCTCACTGAACCCAGCATAAAAGCACACAGGTGTTGTTCTTTGGGTCCTCATTTCCTTATGAAGGCTCCCATGCCATGTAAAACTTACATGAAACATACTTGTATACTTTTCTCCTGTTAATCTTTGTCCCTTTAATTTTCAGATCCAGCCAGAGATTCTAAGAGAGTTGAGGAAAGGTGTTTCCTATCCTACAGGGTCTTATGACCTGCTTCAGGGGAGAAGGGAGTGGTCAGCGAGAACTTCCTGCACCTGTTGTTTTTCACATTCCTTCATCTTAAATTTTTCAATATGACAAGGTGCCATAATCTGGGGTAGCCCACTCAAAACCCTCTCAGGACATAATGTCTGCTCACATGGAATTTGTGATCAATGAGGGGACACAAATATTAAACCTTATTTTCTTAAGCATTGACAAAGAAAGAATGGAAAAGAGAAAGGAGGTTCTGACTGCCCCGTGGCATTTGAGGACTCTCTGTTCCCAAAGACCTTTGACTAGGGAAGCCGTGTAAGTCCATGCTAACTCACCTTCCCAGGAAAGGGAGCGAGAGGAGGGAGAACAGGGACAGTAAAGGGGGGGACAGACAGTAAAAGAGGGGCTTTACTTTCTTCTTTCCACCCATCCCTTCCTATATCAGGGTTGAAGTAGGGCTGGAGGGAGGTGTATTTACACTGGGAAGTCAGCTTGGATGAGCCAAAAGTGGAAAGCTTGCACCAAATGAGGAAAGACCAAAGAGTAGTTTTTCAAGCTAGACCTGGTGGTGTACCCCATGAAAAGAATTCTTGCTATCATAGCAGCTGCCACCAGCCCTCAAGCAAAGGTTGTCTTTGTCGTCTTTGCCTTCAACCCATCTCCTTCTTCCTCCCCTCCTTCCAGGGCATCTCTCACCTCCTCTCCTGGGCCCCTTCGGACACTCAATGTCCCATTTGTTCCCCAGGCTGGCTGCTGGCTCAAGCAACCCCATCGAACTCATGTGCTCCTCTTATTCTAAAAGTTCCTTTTTTAAAAAAAAGTCCTGCCTCAATAAAAATGTACGTTCCCAAGTGCTCTATTGGTTTTAGATAAGACCACAGGGATTTCCACTGAAGGGGGTTCTTCATGCCAGGCTCCCCAGGTTCCTTGTGTGCATAAACCTCCCCCACTCTTGTCTGCTCTGCTGCCAGAAAGCAAGATTCTTGGACCCACCTTCCTCAGCTGAGTGTTCAGGGAAATGAAGGATCTTTGTCATTGCTTGGGAGAGAGTCTGGTCCATGAACTCTATTTTGACTCAGAAACCATGAATGAGGAAGCACAAAAGCACCTATATCACTAAGTTTTGTGAGCTTGTTAAATTACCAGGACCTCAGCAGTGTTGCTTTTTTAAAAAAATTTGTTTCATTTTTGGTTTTGTTTTTGCAAATATATCGCTACATTATAGATAACATACACCTCTGAGACTTGGCCCAAGAGTTTAACCATGAGTGGTAAAGTCATCTCTCTGGGAAAATAGATTCTGAGTCACAAAAGCAAATGAACAAACAAAAAATAACAAACTTTTAGGATAAATCCTATTATAATTTGAAGGATCCTCTCCTTGCAATAGGATTTTAGAAAATTATTTTTGGCTTTTGTCGGGATAAAACTGATAGATGTTACAGTCTATATTTTTGTTAATATTAATGAATCCATTGCTTAAAAAGTCACTTCCAAAAATCTGTGAAATTAATGAGATTAATATGGAGATCAAGATTGAGAATTATTTCTCCAGACTCATATGTCCAACGTATGCTCAAAAGTCCCACTCAGAAGTCGAAAATCTCAAACCTAACCTGTGCAAATCTGAAATCCTGAGGCTCTGCAAACCTACTTTTCCTTCTCTTACCCACATTGGTTGATGGCAACTTTGTTCTGCTCATTGCCCCAGCACGTGGAGTGACCCAGGCCTCCTTTCTCTCTCACACACACAACATGTGATCTGTCAGGAAATTCGGTTGACTCTACCTCCGAAAGATATCCAGAACCCAGTGACTTCTCACTCTGTCCGCAGTTGTGACTGTGGTCTGAGCCCCCATCCTCTCTTACTGCAGTGTCCCCACCTTATCCACACAGGTCATTCTCAGTCCAGCAGCAAGAGGATTCTTTTAGATCATATCAGACCAGGTCACTAGGGGCTCCAAGCCCTCCAAAGACTCCCATTTTCTCAGAGTAAAAGCCAATGGCCTGAGCACAGCCTACAAGACCTACCAGGTCCTGAGTGCGTCCCACAAGGCCCCTCGGCCACACCAGCCCTGCCAGTTCCCAAACACACAGGCACACCTGCCTCAGGGTCTGTGTTCTAGTATTCTCTCGCCCGGAGCATGCTCCCCAGAGCTTCAGCGGATCTCCCACCTTCTTTAAATCTATTCAAACCTCACCCGCTCTCCGATGCCTGCCCCACTGAGCCTGTGGCCCGCCCTCTACCCTCCATACTTTCAGTCCTCAGAATTGCCCTACTT